AGGCCGACCGCAGCAGTAAGAGGCTGGGCGTTCTCCAGCAGGCCTCTCGTCATGTCAATGAGATGGCTGCTAAAGTCATGGCCTCCACAAAGACGGGACAAGAAAACCTGGAAGACAAAGGTGAATGCACATTTATTTGTGTCGAAGACCAGCAAACATATTGGTTGATTTTTAACCCTTAATATGGTTCAATCGAACAGATCCCATGGACTTCTCTGGGATGTCTCTTATCAAGTTGAAAAAAGAAGAAATGGAGTCACAGGTAAGCAGTTTTGCTAATCATGACATTTTGCTCCATAAACTGTATTGAAAGTGACTTTAATTGATTGAAAAGTCGATGCCAAATTTCAGCCATGAACCAACACAATAATTTTTTGGAAAAAATAGAAAATCTGAGATACAGATTTAATTTTAGAGAAAAACTGAATGTGCCGAACATTACTTCTGAACAACAGCGTGTCTCGATCCTTTAGGTGAAAGTGCTGGAACTGGAAACTCAGCTGGAGAACGAGCGTTTACGTCTGGGTGAGCTCAGGAAGAAACACTACGACTTAGCCGGAGTTCCTATGGAGCAGGTCTCTGAGCGAAACGGTGACACGCCGTCACCTGTCCAGCAGCCCCGTCCTCTCAGCATGTCCCCCAAACCCAGCAAGCCCCCCCTGGGGAGGAAACCCACGCTCTCTCAAAAACCCAACATACCATCGAAACCAGGGGTAATAAAAACGAAAGTCTGTTAAAGTAAGAAAATAGAACATAATTTGAAATTAAACGTTTCTTCTTTTTCATGTTGCAGTTCAAGTAAATGCAGAGGATGGCAATGCTTCACTGCAGGATAACCGGATTTAGAGAAGAAATATTTGGCCTTTTTTGTGAATATTCAGCTCTTTTTAGTTGCACACTCACAAGCCAGAGTCAACCTTTTTCTCAACGTTCTTCTTTATTTTTATTCTACCTTTCATTCCTTGTTTGCCAAAATGGCCCTCCAGCCTATTTTCTTGTTTTTTACTCTCAATGCCTACAGGGATTCCCCTGTTTTTCCTTTTTATTTTCCATATTTGATATTAAGAACACTTTATTTTAGGCATTTTTACAAAAAAAAAAAACAAATCTGTATTACTAACAATTTAAAAATTAAAACTACTGCTCCCTTTTTTGTGGAATGTAAACTTTTATCTAGAAAACAAATTGGCCACATATCATGTAGACGAACAGTCAAATTTAATCATGTTTATGGCAGCCTTATTGCACACTTGTAGATCACATCTTTCTCTAACTTTTTTTTGCTATACTCTGTTCTGTATTATTTATGTTGTGATAGTGGTGAAAGGAGACTGGGGAATGACTTGGTGTGTGTTCATGTCGCTGCAGAAGTACGATATACTTCTAGCTTTCCCTTTATGTGAAAATTTGCTGTTTCCCTCCCTTCCTCCCGAACTGAACAAGATTGTTTCAGAGGCCTTGAATAATACTTCATAGATGCATTAAATGTTGCCTGTAAAGATTTGCAGTCTGTACAAGAGACTGCTACTTACACTACATTTATTTCACGAATGTCCCTTTACAAGAGGAGAACAGAGATGCTATGTTAAAGCATAGATAGACCTAAAGCTTGCACTCTATGTATCAGCTGTAGATGTCCTTAATTATCAATCGCTTCTTGTAGGCTGAATATATAAATTTAGGTTAGTTGATGAGGAACTTTAAGGCGTCTCTGAGTGTTTAATGCAGGATCTTAAAATGCATCCCCTATGCTCTGCCCTCTCCTCTTTAAGAATGTCTTTTTACTCAGATCTATTAATATATATTTTAGTAAAGATACTGGTGGGTTTTTTTCCTTGTAAGAATTGTAAATGTCACACAAATTAACAATAAATATTTGATTTTATTTGGTCTTGTGTTGCTTCATTGAAAACAAAATACATTTTACAAACTTGGGAAGCTTTTGGAGGTATAATTTAGTAAATAGTTTTAGCAAAAATATGCTTTAAAAAAATCTATATAAACTTATTTTCAGTTACTGAATGAAATAAAAATTTTCCTTTGTCTAAAAGGAGCATAAACCACTGAAAAATTGTCCAAACCTTTGAATGATGCCAAATAAGCTGACTTTTAAGTATTTAAATGTGGGTCAATTGCATTCTGTAAATTCGAATATGCCTCGTTGAGGCTTGTCTGTCAGATTAAAAGTAAAAATACAAAAAAAAGTATGTTTTAATCTAGTCTATATTTCTGTATTGAAATGTTTTTTTTATTGGTCTGATGCTCTAATTTTGAGTTTTGTTGAATTGACTTAATGCATTTCACTTCAACACCTTCATTGATGTGTTCATGTCAATGCAATAAGAATTATAAAATGTGTAACTAACCCTTTTGTTCCTTTGCATTTCAAACATCCAATCTCAAGCTGTGTGAATCACTGTAAATAGTCATGAAACATACAGAGATGTGCAAATGTCTTTAAAAGGCAGTTGGATAATTTACAAAAAATTGTTTTCTTAATTGCAGTTGTCTTCAAACTTATGTTTTAAAATTTTTCTCCTTGAGGTTGTCTTAAGTATTTTTTTAAATCAATTATAAAATAGTTATGGATTTTTTTTTTGTTTTTACTAGATATTGTAAATTGTACTTGATTTGTTTTCCTTGCAATTCAACTTAATACAAAAAGAAAGTCAAGTGTGCTGCTAAAGTGTGTTTTAATTGAATATTTTTTGCAAAAGTCTAGACATTTAACTTTTTACATAGCATTACAACAATTAACATACAGAAATAATTTAGTCTGCAACACAAAATGGGCCTTGATAATTTGCCAAAACACAACAGTTGTGCCAGATTTGATTGACAGTTCCTATTAAAGTGAGAGGCACCGGGGAATCCCAGATGTGGTAGCACTTTACTCTAGTGATTGCTCGCTCTACAATGATCCGCAGCCGAGCAATGGTCTGGGTCTCCTCTCTCTCTTCCTTGCTGAACTGACCAGGATGCCTAAATGGTGGAATGATGAGTTTGGCTCCAACTTCATGAAGGAGGTCTTGAATGAGGAAGCCTTTATCTGCCATGACTTCATCTCCCAGCTCAAGCAGAGGAAGGATTCCACTGACCTTTGTTATTTCTTGTCGGAGATGCAGCCTGTGTACAACGCTGAAATAAATGTCACCAACCCACAGGGAGCAACTCCAATCAGCCCTTTCAGAGTGGTGTGGTTCTTGTAGGCAGAGAACGTTTCAGACTGTAAGGTGAGGGATGATGGCGTTTCCAGAGCAACTTCTGTGCAGTCCAAGATGACACGGACATTTGGAGAGAACTTCAGAAATTTCTGAGGCATACTGGCTTTTACCTTCTCACGACGAATCCACAGGTTGATGGAAGAGAACACAATGAAGAGGTAGTTGGCCCAGGTGATGGTCACTCGGCTGACAGTAGCTATACTGACTTGAAACATGTCAGCAATGAGCCGCTCCTTCATGCCCACAGCAACCCTGAATGAGAACATCAGGAACTCATCAATCAGAGGCATGCAGCGGGCAGGGCTGGCTTCAGCACATGCTTCCTCTCCAAGTTTCTGTGCTCTGGTCCAGAACACCAGGAGTGATGCAGAGGGTGCAATGGACTCCCAGAAGTCCGGAACACACATTCAGATGGAAATCTGGTGTAGACCCGGATCTGGTCATCAGAGGCACAGTAGCAGCTTAAAAGTGTGGCAGACAAATCGACTTTTTGAAGTCTGGCCTCCTTAATATAATCCAGAGCTTCATCAAGTGCACCTGTAAAACCACAAAATAAAATAGCAAAACATACGGTTAGCAACAAGTTTTAAATATATATTTGAAACATTACTTCTGTGAAGATCAATATATGTTGTGAGTCGGAGCATGTATGTATACAGCCATTGACTTAATCTCTCCACAACATACATGACGACATAATCTCATAATTATGTGATCATAATAATAATAATAATAATAATAATAATATAGCAACAGTTATATATTACTGAAATTATCTTACATGGAAAATATACTATATTTTACCTGCGGGTGGATGTGCCGTGTAGTCATAGTCTGCAGTAGCATCTTCAGCCTGGCTAGCTTTCTGAGAGGACAAACTGCCGTTTCTTAGCCCTCTCGAAAGCAGACTCTCTCATTGCCGGTGCAGTGAAGTTATTCCAGACAAACAGGGAAGGAACAGCTCCACTTTTAAGGCGGCTGGTGGTGGATCCGCTCACAAAATCCTCCGGTGTGAATGGTGGCTACATACGAAAGTGTTCCCCGTCTTTATGCAAAAGTCCGGACCTTCATCTCTTCGGATCGCCTGGATCCACTGCCTCCGTTGGTCCGGGTCCGTCGGGAACGCATGATATGACAGATATGGCTGTTTTCTTGCCCCACATGAACAACCAGGGACTGAACAAAACAACTACGCCGAGACTGAGCCATTTTCCTAACGCTATAGCCACCGGAAATTGTCCAACCCACATCCGTCCCGGCCCCGCGCATGCGCACTACGGACCCGGCCCCGCACATGCGCACTACGGACCCGGCCCCGCGCATGCGCACATCCGCCCCGGCCCCTGCGGGTGGACGTGCCGTGTAGTCATGGTCCACAGTAGCATCTTCAGCCTGGCTAGCTTTCTGAGAGAGAACACACTGCCGTTTCTTAGCCCTCTGGAAAGCAGACTCTCTCATTGCCGGTGCAGTGAAGTTATTCCAGGCAAACAGGGAAGGAACAGCTCCACTTTTAAGGCGGCTGGTAGTTTGATGTTTTATTATGTTTATAGTAATATTAATCCACTGTTTCCTTGTGAAGTGGATGTTTGTTTTTTTTAATTAAATTACTAATATACAAACAGAACTTCGCCATTCAGCTTGATTAAATAAGACGAGTCATAAAATAAATGCTAGTTCACTTTATCCATTGACTTCAGAAGTGAGAAGGCGGTTAAGTTTGTACCACTGCACTTTAATAGGTGGAATATTAAATTTCCGAGTTTTCGGTTTGACACGAAGGCAGCATCAGTGGCAGAGAGGCACGGCAGCGGTTGGTCGGGTTTGAACTGTCAAGAAACTCCAACAAGTTTCCTCGGCGTTCAAACTCGCCTCCGTAAACTCATTATCTCCACTCTTAATGCGAGTCTGTTGAATGTTCTGAGGTCAGCAGAGATATGCTGGATTTCCAGGGTGCAATTAAAGAGCCAGGGACAGACAGAGACCCACGTTATGTCAGCGCTGGACAGACCCGCGGCGGAGCTCACCGTCATGGACGTGTACGACATCGCGGCGGTGCTCGGCCAGGAGTTTGAGCGGGTCATCGACAGGTTCGGGTGCGAGTGCCTGGTTGGGGTGGTGCCCCGAGTGGTGCGGCTTCTGGAGTTCCTGGAGGCACTCGTGGGCCGCGGAGCAGCCGGACAGGAGGCAGAGGAGCTGCGCAGGGAGCTGGACAGACTGCAGCGGGAGCGGAGCGACAGATACGAGCAAGAGAAGAAGCACCAGAAGGTCAGTGAAGAGACTCCGCGACCTGCCAGGCCACAACCTCAAACTCCAACGCATTGCACTGAGATTTTAGGTTATAGAGCAACCTAAATCTTTATTTTAATTAAGTTATTTTAAGTAATTAAAATAACTTACAATTCTGAAGTAAAAAGGAAACTATATATATATATATTTTTTTTTTTTTTTACACAATGAAAACCTGATAAGCTCCACATCTGTTAATATTCAGCCCCAGGAATCAACTCTCTCTTGCTCTCATTAATGCTGTAAGTGTTTTTCACTTACCAGCTTGAACATGTGGGGACTGATCTTTGTTCATAATTATCGCAAGTAGCTATTGCTCTGTTAAATTAAACAAAGAGCATTTTTTAACATAAATTTACATTTTGGATTTTGACTGCATACAAGTTGAAACTAAACCATTTGGCTCTGGCCACAGTTCAGTGTAGGGATTGAGCTTCATTCTTATTCACAGTAACTCTGATGGGTACTTTTGCCTCTGGTGAAGAAACGCATCTCCACCTCATGATGAAACATTTACACATATTTGATAAATGTTCACATTTTTATTTAAACAAAGATGGGACGTTTGCTTTACCTCCGACTTGGATTCAGATCGTGCTCTGAAGAAAGGCAGTAAACCACGACCATGCTGTACAAATTCAATCTGCTGTACAAATTCAATCTGCTGTCATATCTTCTGTGCTCAGGAATTGGAGCAGGTGGAGGATGTGTGGAGGGGAGAAGTCCAGGACCTGCTGTCTCAAACTACCCAGCTTCAGGCAGAGAACAAGAGGCTGTTGGTGAGCCTCTCGCTGAAAGAGTCCCCCGTCACGGAGGAGGACCTACAGAAACACGAAGGTGGGTGCATCTTTCTGATTGATTATTAGCTATGTTGTAATCAGTGCAGAGAAAACGCAGTTCATTATACTCGTGCAAATACAAAGATAATATTAGATATCAGCTCAAATTCTGATTTGACTCTTCCCTGCTGTTGATCACTCAGGCATAAAAACGCAATAAACTCAAAGGATGAACCAATCTACACTTTAAAGACAACTCGGCATAGAAGCCTTGGTATACAACAAAAATGTGATGCATCTCTTGGGACATTTTTATTTCCTTTATCTTAAAAATAATATTTTACACACAGTTTGTGTTTAAGGTATTTTTTTTTTGACTCAGGCTTTCATTTGGCCTCAATTTGTCCACTTTTTTCTCACGACACTCCACAATTTAGTGTTACAGCGAGGTTAAAAAAGTAAACTGAAAATTAGCAAATAAGCAAAAAGTTAGAAAAAGACTTTCAAAAAGTCTTCAGAAACCTACATAAAAATACACGTCTGTAAGTTGACCTCAAAGTAGGTCAGTCGGGAGCTTGGAAAGGAGACTATTTTTGAAGCAGACCAAAATATATCTGTTGTGTGAGACTCTTAGTGAGTGCAGCTGTGCTTACAGTGTGAGCTCTAAACTCACACGTTCACTAATGGATTTGTGCACTTCAATAAATTAGTTCTGCATGACCAGATTACTGTATCCACTGATGCATTAGGTTTCTTAACGGTGTATGAAATGATATCATTATACGAGAAAATCCAAGCAAGCCTTAAATAGATCGAATATTAAAAGTGGAAATAAGCATTTTAGCATCTTATAATGTTTGCTGTTCTTCCTTGCTTGCATGAAAGTAAGCGTTTGGAGGTTTGTTCCTACTGTCTGTCTGATAACACAATTGTAAAAAATAAGAGATTTTTCTGTGGGGATTTATTATTATGGCTCTCATATCACTGATGATGTTTTCCTTATTAGCACAAATGTCGGAGAAAGAAAGCCAAGTGATGCAGAAGCTAAAAGATTTGGTGGATAAACAGAGAGACGAAATCCGTGCAAAAGACCACGAGCTAACGCTAAGAAACGGAGATGTTGAAGCGGTGAGGATTTGATCTTTAATCAAAACATGTCAACGCCATCTTTGACATGAATTAGAGTTGCTTGAACTCTCTCAAAAACAGCTCCAGCTGCAGCAGCATCGGCTCATCAGAATCAACCAGGACCTCCTTCATAGGGCCGGAGTGATGGAGGCTCAGGGCAAGACGCTGATCCAGCAGAGGGCTGAGCTGGAGGCCTCTGCCCAGGCACAGCAGCAGGAGTACGCAGCGCTGCAGCTGGAGGTCAGGAGGCTGACAAAGGAGCTCCAGGAGAAGGAACTAGAAAGAGAACTTCTGGAGATAGAATCCCCTCTGGGAACAAGATCTGGGAACTCTTCACCAACATCGGCGCCAATGACGGTAAGAAGCGCGTCGGACTGTTTGTGATACACCGAATAACATGTAGTAACTGTAAAGTGGGAGAAAAAATGTAAACAATTTTCTAAATCATTGCCTAATCACTTATGGTCCACTTAAACTAACAGGCCAGGCAAAAAATTGAGAAACATCCAATAGGTCCATAGCAAATCAGGAGGAGCTGCACAGATCTGCTACTCACAACATAAAAAATCCAGAACAGGTCAGGAAAAGATTTTTTAGTCAAATGAGACCAAAATTGCACTTACTGACCTATATTCAAAACACCATGTGGAGAAAACTTGCACAGCACATTACCCTGGACACATCACAACAGTGAAACATGGTGGTGGCAGCATTATACTGTGGGAAGCATTTCTTCAGCAGGAAAAATAATACAAATCAAAGCTGAACGTGTGCTGAGTGGCCCAGTCAAAGTCTAGATCTAAATGCAATTAAGAATCTGTTGCAACTTTTGAAAACTGCAGTTCAAACGTCTACACTCTACGTTCAGCTTGAGCTTTTGCACAAAAATGAATGAATAAAATTTCAGCCACTCGATGAGCAGGACTGGCTGAATGAAGTAAAACACCATCAGATATGCAGTTTGCAGCAACAGGTGGTTCTACAGAACACCGATTTTATTTAAAATCGTGCACCATCTTCCTACCACCTCGCTACTTTGTGTTAGCCTGTCACATAAAATACGTGGTTTGTGGTTGAAATGAGACCAAATGTAAAAACATCCACTGTATTTTGCATTGTGCTGTCATGGGCTGTTCTTTGTGCCGCATCCAGGCTGCAGAAACCATTCTTTCTGACTCTGTCGAACCACGTTCTGTGTGGGTGGAGTGTGGAGGGGATCCTGGCTTCATTGCAAAGTGCCTCGAGTCTGACAAGAGCCTCTCACTTCTGTCAACAACAGCAAATGGGAAGAATGAGGGAGACCTTACTGAAGCAGAAAACGCTGCAGCACATGTTCTGGTAAGAGCTTGTTTCAATGAAGTGCATGCTGTTGATAGAAATCATTTCTACATCTCTGTTATTGGATACAGCATATTATCATTTTAAACTGCTTATTTTGAAACAGTTTTACTCATTTATTGCTAATCGGCTGTCTCAAGTTACCTTAGGCCTTCTTTAAAGCGCAGCAAATCGTTTACCATCACTGTGACAACCAGGTGATCATTTTCCCGGCTTGGCTGCCCAGAGGCCCACTCAGCCGCCAGCTTTGTTGCTGCTGTTGATGCAAGGGAACCGCTGAGTATGTGTTTTTACTGCAGACACAGTCAACCCCTGCAGAGTCTGAGGATGAGGCAGACAAACCTCGTTTCACCTTGCAGGAGTTGCAGGATGTCCTGCAGGAGAAGAACAAACTCAAAGCCCAGGTGTTCGTGCTTCAGGAAGAGTTGGCTTATTACAAAAGGTAAGATTTGGTTTGAATTCTCTCACTCTGGCATTGGCACTGAAAAGTAATGACACTTCCATTTTGCTTCAGTGAGGACTTGGAAGATGACACCAGTCCTAGTGTCTCTGCCACAAAAACCCCATCGCAGCTAACTTCAGCTGATCAGCCTGAATCAGGAATAAGACGACTGTAAGTAAAAAGATTCCTTTTTTTTTTTCTTCCACCATCTGATCCCAGGTTTTTAATTCCCATTTTTACTTCTAATATTAACAAAGGAATTTGCAATAAATAGTAACACAGCCATAAAAACTCAGAAACTCTATGTATTTTTTGTTTTATTTTCAACCTTTTGTCCATTTTCTATCTGGACAGGATCTTCACTGCCATTATGCCAATGGTGGCTGCCGGTTTAATCGCAGATGATCCCACATTGTTGCCAATAAGAAGACTTGTTTCCTTTGTATGACTTGTCTTAAAGGAAATGTTCATCTCGACACAAAGAACTGATTTAACAGCAGAAATGATTCTAAACTAATCCTATGTTGTGTTCATACTAGACATGGGCCGGTTAGAAAATCTTGTATTGTAGTTATAATCAAGAACAATCAGAAATGTCAAAAATATTGTGATTTCTTTTATTTTAAAGAAAAAAGTAATAAGTACTACTGTTGATTTGCAGTGCGCAGTAACAGTTGGCAAAGGAGAGGATTAAATTTTTTATGTTCTTTACCGCTGGACAAAACTCAAGCACTTTCACGACATTTTATTGAGGGATTTCATTCAGAAATGAGGAATGACACAAAAAAAAGTTCCGACATTTGAAACCATGAGTTTTTAAAATCTCTGGATGCCTTGATGTCGATAACCAGCCCCTGCCTAGTTCATGCATTTACATCAATGTGAATTAACGGGTCTGTTTTTATGTGCTTTACTTATGGCCAGATTGAAAAGAGCTTTAAATGAATCCAAAAAGCTTCAATACAGAACAACTGTGGAGTTCTTTGAAAATAATGAGAATTAATGAATTGGTTTTTTTTTTAAGCTTTGCAGTATCATTTGAATCATGCAGCAAACTGTGCCTTAACAAGTTACTTGGACATTTCAAAATGTGTAAATGAATCTATGTGAAAGGTGTTTTTAAGCCACAGCCTTAATGCTTTATTATCAATGACTATGCAACAAATTTGCAGTGGAAAACATCCTGTGTCTGCTGAGGAGTAAATGTAAAATGATGTTGTAATAAAAGTTTATTTTTGCTATTTTGCATGTGCGCGTCTATTGGATACAAACATCGATTCTGGAAAGCACTACAGGATCATGGCGCTCCTCGTGTTTTGTGGATTTCACAGTCGCGCAGTGTTTAGCGTGGAGAAGCAATGATCTGTTCTTGACCAATGGAGAAGGCAATAAAAGCCGTAAACATTTAGTCACGTGATCTGTCACTTGATCCTGACAGTTTTTTTTTTGGGTATAAGGAAGAACAGATGATCCGGACGAGCTTCCAAGTTTTCCTTTAAATCAACGACCTCCGTTTAGGCTTTGATCGTCTCTGAGCGAACGGTCTTCACCGTAGACGATCTTTGAGCTCACCTGTCGCTAGGATACGTTGCCCTCCTCTGCTGCCACGCCATTGGAGGACGAGTGACGGGGGAAGTGCTGCTCCGCTGGAAGTTTGTTACCTTCGTTTAAACTTTAGACGATTCAAGTCTGAAACAGAGCAGTCGCTGAGTTGGAACTTTTCTAGGCGGTCCGTCGTTTCAAAGGTGACTTTATTCCGTGAACTTCAGGAGTGTCGCGATGGAGTTTGGTGAAGAGCCGTCACCCGCTCTGGCCTTCGAGAAGGACGCCTTTGAGCTCACCGTGGAAGATGTGTACGACATTTCCTACGTGATCGGACGAGACCTGTTAAAAATCAGCGGCGCCGGCGAGGAAGTGTCTGATTTACAGTTCAGGATCGTCCGAGTCCTGGAAATGTTTGAGACGCTGGTGAACAAGTACAATCTGTCGGTGGAGGAGCTGAAAATGGAGCGGGACAACCTGAAGGCAGAGCTGGACAGGATCATCCGGGAGGGCTCGTCCTCCTCCGGACACAGCGGGGTGAGCTTCTCCATCCTCCCGCCCGGGGCTCGCGCTCTGGTCAGAGGGCTTAACGACGTCTTCCTTGTCCCAGCAGCAAACCGTGGGAGCGAATCAACTGGTGGTGGACCTGAGTGACCCCAACAGACCGCGCTTCACCATGCAGGAGCTGAAGGAGGTTCTGCAGGAGAGGAACCAGCTGAAGGCTCAGCTCATGGTGGCCCAGGAGGAGCTTCAGCTGTATAAGAGGTCACCAATCAGGATGTTTGATTCAAACTTGATTGATCCGCCTGGCTGCTGGCACCGTTTCGCCACTAATGTCAAATCAATCATGTTAATCAGTTCTTGTTTGTTTGCATTAGAAGCACCAGAAAGAGTTTAAGAGGGGTTTCTAAAGCAACCCCTCTGCAACACCTGTCATGAGATTCTCATTGTATGATTTCCTCCAAAGGAAATGACTCTTTTTAAGTGTATCTACACAAAATTGAACTTGGATGAGAAAAATGTTTTGATTCAAGCAAAAACAAGCTTCAAATTATGCTCAAAATTGCTAACGTTTATAAATGATGTATTATCACAGCTGCTCCTTATACTGAAGCAGTGCGATTTGCAGAATGTTGCAAAACATTTCATGCAATCTTTGATAGACTTTCATATATATATATATATATATATATATATATATATATATATATATATATATATATATATATATATATATGTCTATAGATATGCATGTATACACACATTTGACCATTTGCATCAACTCATTCTGTTCTCTATGGCAGCAGCTTTACAAACATAGACACTACAGCTCATGAAAAGAGGCTGGGACATCCTGGAGATGAAGATTTAAAGATATATTTCATATTATCACTTTTGCACGTTCTTTAAAAATATTATTGTCCCAATAAAGTGTTACCTTAGGTCCAAATTTCACAGGTGCTTGTTTCAAAGTACTTGCTGTACAGAGCAGCAATGTCCCTTTTTTCTATTTAAAAAAACGTATATGGTTATGGTTAGTGTTTGTCTACATGTTGTCATTTTTGCAGGTTTTGCATTTAAAGTCTGACCATAATACAAATATCTGCTGTAACCTTTTTATTTAAAAGAGAGAAAAAGACTGAATTTCTGCTGAATAGTGTGAAACGTTTCAAGTTTCTCAACTTTGAAAGCTATTTCTAATTCTAAATTGCTGCACCATCTTTCCAAGTGAACCTGCCAATTGTTCTGCAGTGGGATTCTACCTCAATCTGAACCCGCCATGGTTGACGTGGACCTGGGTGTGCCACCAGCCACACAGGACAGTTCATCCACAATAAACGAAAAGACAACTATAGGAAAACTGTAAGTCACAAATATTTAGATCTAAATAATAATAATAAAGAAATAACTAAAGTAAAAATATTTTTAATGCCTAAAACAAGTTTCACTATCGCAGGTAAAATGCATGGAATTCAAAGTTGTTGTTTTTTTCTTCAGTCACATGATGCTGAGGTGAAGATAACAGGCAGATTATCCTTACAGCCCTTCTCCTGTGCGCTAATGCTGTACTTGTGACCCGGCGAAGTCATGCTGATGCAGAGAATGTTTGTGTGAGGAGAGAGTGAGGCTGGAAAATGTGTCCGTCTTCTAAACTGTTGTCAGTAATTACAAGCTACTCTGACTTGGACCCACCGTTCCAGTGATAGGACAGCAAAGCATTTCTCCTATCAACGTTCCATAGTTTTCCCAAAAGAAAATCCTGGGTTTCTCAGTCTCTAGGATCGCCTTTAAGGGTCTTTAATGTACATGTATATCCTTATCTGACCTTACTGTAGGCTTTTCTACAATATCAGGAAATATTAAATTGTGATACTTGACGAAAACTGCAACGATATCATATGATTGACCCACATTGCTTAGATACATTATTTTTCTTTACCATTCACCTCTCTGTATGAGCTGTAGCATCTCTAAAATTGTAGATTCTGTGTGAGGATCTACTCAGCCCTTAATACTTTAAAATAGGGGTGCACAACATGTCATAAATGTTTTGCCACCGTAATGTCAGTGTGTTCAATGTTTATATTGCAAAGATTGGAGGAAAGTCGCTGTTGCCTAATATATTCCAAATGTTATGAACTTACATTTTTCATGCCAATGTAACATTCAGCCAGCTAGTCAAGAGTCTCACAGCAACAACTTTATCCAAAATATTAGAGGCCAAAAAGTGATGGCTCCACATGGGGGAAAAAAAGAATATGAGCATATATTGCACATATCACAGATTGTTGATTGAAGAATGGATGGAAGATGGGTTGATGTAAGGATGGGAGGATTTATATTTCTTAATCATATGGAGAAAAAATTCTGGAAATGAAAATGTTGTTTATGCCTTTTCAGGCCAGAAGTAAAAAAACTTACTTTCCCTGACTGTGTACAGGAACCATGACTGGTCACACATGATAAAGTAAACTGACTCTGGACTCTTTCTGTTTTCAGGTTTTCATTCAGGAGAAAATGAGAGGAATCCCTCAGACGATCTGTTTTAGAGGCAAACAGGATTTATCTGCACAATTTCTAACCACTTTTGTAATTATTGTTGTTTACAAATGTCAGTCTAACAATATTTTGTATCATTTTTAATCTAATATGATTTGTAGTATTACAATACTGGAGAAGCTGAATTATTAACATGTTTAGGTAACTGGAAAGTATTAAGTTAGTCATTCCCTGTTCAAGCATTTTTAAAAATGTATTTTTGCTCAAATAAGTTTGGTCTTAAATTATGAAGTAAACAAATAAAATATGGTCCCATCCAGTCAATCTTACCAATAAAACAATGCAGATTATATTTTTTATCCTGGATTTTTGGGACCATTTGCTATTGAAGTGTTGTAAATGTTTCAAATTGTGAAGGAATTAGAAAAAAATACCAGACATAAAGTGTGATATGATTTTTGTTTTTACAAATAAAATATGCAGAATGGGTCACACTGTTGTACAATGATCTATTTACTCTGATACTCCATAGTATTGTTAAAATACTAAATATTCACCTGTGTACAATTCAATCAATCTCAGTATAAATGTTTAAAGGTCTCTGAGGTTTGTTGTTCATACAATCCAGGATTATGATATTCAGATATCTGACAGAAGTAGCTTTTTTTTTTTTCATCCCACCATCAAGTTTGTTTCTGGAAAAAAAAATGAGGCATGCAGCTGTCAGAAAATAAAAGTTTATTCTAAAAAAAGTTATACACAATTTCATTTGAAAGGATGTAATATATATAAAAAAGTATAACTTTACCAATAATCAGTGGAAATAGTTTATCAGCTTGACAGCAATCAAACTTCCAGCTACTGAGCAGCTTATTTCATTTTCCACTGGTATTTTATTTCAAGTCTTTCAGGTTGGAAGGCCTCTTTGCCATCACCCTAATGCACCAACATGTTGATTAAAACCAAACGATTACGTTGAAGCTAAATCTGCCAGGGTATAAATAATTTGTTTTAGCTGCACAGAACCTGAGTATTTAAACAGCAAACATCATGAGAAACCAGAGTAATGAAGAAAATAATGGCAGCCGAGAACATGCATGACACTGAAGAGTTTCATAAATGATCTTTAGGTCATTCACTCTATAACCAGGGTTCATTAGGCTACAGCTGGAATGAAAACTGTCAGGTTCTTCATAACAAACTCAGGCTGTATTTTACTGTCGCCACATCAGCATTCAATTCATTTAGAAAAACAAACTAAAAGAATAAAAGCACATTTTGCAAAAATCCCCAAACAAAACACTTCAAGTATTGAAGCACACAGCTTCACTTCCAGCATGTTTTCAAAGAGTGTCATTTTATGTACATCTCACTTTAATAAAGACTGAGACCGACTGGTGTTCAGCGTAATAAAAGGTTCAGTATTTAAGCCAGGGGTGTGCAGAGATGGACTCTTTGCTCCGATCCCCGTAGTCGTAGAGCAGCTCCTCCTCTGCCTTGATGTCCCTGGAGGCCACAAAGATCAGATGAGGTGTCCCATCGATGGGGTGGAGCCTCGTCTGGCAGTTCCCACTTTTGCTGTGGTTCAACAGCCGTCCGAGACGGTCCGTTTCTTTGGTAGCATCTATGCTGTAAAGCAAAGACAGCAAAACATCTTAAGCTTCGATCGATAGGCTGTAAGTTATATTGGTGTTATTTCAACTTACCAGTAGGTTTTAGCTTGATACTGGAAGTAATACATGTAACAGCCAGTTTCAGGGTCCTCAGAATACTGGGCCTCTTTCTTTTTGGCCTCAGCCAGGTCCAGCAGGTCGCCATGGTACTCGACAACAAACTCTCCCTTTTTGAAACTCTTCACAGCAAAGACTCCTCTTCCTTTTCCTTTTGTGTGTTTGACCTGATGACATTCAAATCTCTGGCATTTATTTGGTCTGGCGAAGTGTTAAACCGCTGTATGAATGTAATGTTTCTGCCAAACGCACATCTGAATATAGTATTTGGTGAAATAAAAGGGTTATGTTACCTCCAGTCCTTCTTCGATGCCGTTCTTTAACAGGTCGTCAATGTGTCTGTGTTCTTCACTCTGACAAACAGAACAAAGATTTACTCAAAACTACAAAATGACAGTTTCTCACCATCACTTAATAAAAGCAATACAAACCTTTATCTCTGTTTTAGTTTTCCTGTTACTTCTCCTGATGGGAAAATAATCTGTGACTTTTCTGTTTTGAAGAGCTTTGTTCTCCATCCTTGAGAGAAAGACATTATGATTGTTCAACCAGCTGTGAAAGTGCATCGGCATCTTGGCGAGTAATGCGGACATGATTAGCTCACTTTTTCGCTCCAAGCTTGCGGCGGTGGGCTTTAGTCCGAGGCGTGGCTGACGGAACCGCGTGGCTACCATCTGATTCTGCGCTGGGCTCTTTTTGCTTTAGTTTGCCAGAGATTTGCTTTTTTGTCTCACGTTGACACAGCCCGTCCTGTTTCTGCTCTTTGGAGCTACAGATCTTAGATTTTGCTTTATCGGTTGTGTCTGATGTGAGAAGGACAGAAAGCTCAGAGAAGCTGCTTTGGAGAACATTGTAAAATCAATCAATCAATCAATCAAATTTTATTTGTATAGCACATTTCAGCAAGGCATTTCAAAGTGCTTTACATCATAAACACAAGAACACAAAGTCATGCAACATATAATAGACAATACATTGTTATATATTACATTTCAAATGAAACTCTAAACAGGTGTGTTTTTAATTGCGATTTGAAGGAAGTCAGGGTTTCCACTGTTTTACAGTTTTCTGGAAGTTTGTTCCAAATCTTTGGTGCATAGATGCTGAAAGCTGATTCTCCTCTCTTGGTTCTGGGGATGCAGAGCAGAACCAGAACCAGAAGACCTGAGAGGTCTGGAAGGTTGATACAACAACAGCAGATCTTTGATGTATAGTGGTGTCAAACCGTTCAGTGATTTATAAACTAACAACAGTATTTTAAAATCTATTCTTTGAGCTACAGGGAGTCAGTGGAGGGCCTTTAAAACTGGTGTTATGTGATCTATCTTCCTGGTTCTAGTGAGAACGCGAGCAGCAGCGTTCTGGATCAGCTGCAGCTGTTTGATTGATTTGTTGGACAGGCCTGTGAAGACGCTGTTGCAATAATCAATGCGACTAAAGATAAACGCATGAATGAGTTTCTCTAGATCTGGCTGAGACATTAGTCCTCTAATCCTGGAGATGTTCTTCAGGTGATAGAAGGCTGACTTTGTAATTGTCTTTATGTGGCTCGCAAGGTTCAAGTCCGAGTCCATCACTACTCCCAGGTCTCGGGCCTGATCGCTAGTTTTTAGTTGTAATAACTGAAGCTGTGCATTGACTCTAGATCGTTCCTCTTTAGGTCCAAAAATAATGACTTCAGTTTTGTTTTTGTTCAGCTGGAGAAAGTTTTGGCACATCCACACATTTATCTGCTCTAAACATTTATTCAGTGATTGGAAAGTATTAATAGTTCTCTTGATGTTTCTTGGATTTGATCACATTAATCAAACTTTTATTGTAACTTTATGTAATGAACGAATACAAGTGGAACAAAAACTATATTTGGGTTTTTTTTTTTTTTTTTTTTGGCGTCATACATTTGTATGTACAGTCATCCTGACTAAATACTTTGTAAAACACTTTTCAACCAAAGATGACCGCAATTCTTTTGAGGATATCCCTGAATGGAGTGATTACAAATACACACCAAACATTTCAAATTTTCATTTGTAGAATCAATAGAAAAAAAGAAGAAAAAAAAACATGAATGCACAATTTGGGAGAAAAAATACTTTTGTTGTAAAAAGAAAAAGGTCAAGAGTTATAAATAAGTTTGTCTTTTTGAACGTGGTAATATGTCTGACTCACCTTGCTTCATCTTTGACAGACCAGGATCAGTGGCATCAGAATCGTTCCCCTCCAGGATGAGCATGCTGGAGCTGTCGCTCAGCGGGGACCTGGCCTTACCTGGACTGCGCAGACTCTGGAGAACTGACTGTGCTTTACCAACACATTCCTGTAAAAGTTCATTTTTCTGACATCAGAAAAAAACAAACAAACAAAAAGACCCAGTAGGGCAAAAATAAATGCAATATTGCACTTTAAAAGGCAGTCAAACAACGTTGTAGCTGGCTGGGTTAAACAGAAACCCCACAGCACACCTCTGTAACCAAATGAAACAATCTGATTTACATACATTTGTATTTTATATCAATCCTATTGAATGGATGGAAAAAGGACACAGAGCCCCATTACACTATTTGTTACAAGTCATTTTCATTCAATCTTTGTACATAATTCCTGCCTTATATGTACGTGCAAACAGACATTACAAATTAATAGTCACCATAAAACTCAACCCTTCTTCTTAATTATGATCACCCTTTCTCAGTACATCAAAAACTCAATGGGGGGGACAAAGGGGCTCTGTGTGACAGATCAAAATTTGCATTCAAACTTACATTAATCCACAGATTAGAAAATAAACTAGCTGTTCAGATTTGGAAAGACAACTTTCTGTTTTGAAACAAGGTCAGGAAATGCAATTGGGTTTCCAGACCCTCTGCTGCTTGATTAGAGCACCCTTTCTTCCTTTTATGCCATTTCTCAAAACATGCTCAATCTATTAAAGGCCTTTCTGCCAACTTAGGACCACAGCAGTCTTCAGAAACACAATGTTACAAATAATGACAGCTCTTGACTGAGAACCAACGGTCTGGCGCAAGCGAGTTGACAAACGGGGGCTGTATGAAGCACAACATGCAGGAAACACACCTTGTTCATTTGTGGCTTGTTTTCCTTCGTCTCCGCTTGTGAGGTGGTGGTTTGTTCAGCAGTCTCGCCTGTTTTTTTCTCAGTTTTCAGGCCATTTTTCTTCCCTTTGTAAACACAAGAATATCCAAAAATAGCTATTCAAGTTTAATTATCAAAAAACGCTGTACAACAGTCGTAAATTTATTTATTTATTTTAACCGTAAATTCTTACAAAACCGCGTTAAGTTGGGTTTCTCGTTTTAGTAAATAATTTGCCATAACCTACACGGGGCAATATTTATAGCCCTCCTATCCGCTTTCTAGAACATTTCACAGCTGCTTTGTACAAACAACTCATGATAAAGTTAACCTTTTGCCATCCTCAGTTCCCAGAATGTCGTCCAGAAACAATGTTGTCCGAGTTTAACTTCAATGTCGAAGAAATGTCAAGCCACAGCGCGTTACAGTCGGTATGGAGGATTTAAAAATCCTTTTGCGATTCCCATTGGGTAATTTAATCGGAGAGGCGGAGCGCGTGCCTCAGAGCAGCTTCCCCATTGGCTGCCACTTCCACGACGTATAAACATCTGTAAAGCTACATTGCATATTACCGATATAAAATATTGTTTCAAAAGAAGGAATGAAAAGTCATATAAATACATATAAAGGAAAAATATGTAAAAATACTAAAAATAATTGTCTTCTTTCTTGCTCACAAAACAAACCCCAAATTAAAACAATTCCCACAAAAGAAAAAAAAAAAAATCACACGATAAAAAAAACAAAAACAATGTTCATATTGGTTTATAAACATTCTGTGGTGACAGAATGTTGATCATCTGAAATCTTAACATTTATAAAGAAATTTTTGGGGAATAGACTTTTACTGGCACCTAGTGGAAGTAGATGGGAGTAGTACCTGTAGTAAATAAAAAAAATCTAATTACAACTCTGAGTAACTAAGAGAATAATAATAACAAGATTTGTAATACATTTTTCAGAAAGAATAAACTGTTTATTTCAAGATTACAATGGGGTTCACCGATTGGAGTTTCCTGGCTGATCACAGTTTACTGATCTCTAAAAGCCTGATCTGGCCAATATAGTTAAATAAAGCAAGAGAGTTACTCAGGTGGGAACAGCGGGGTGACTATTTTTAACTGCAGACATGACTTGGTGGGCTGATCTATCAGTCAACCCTCTCGCACATCAGAGCAACAAATGACAGTAGTTGATTTTCGGACATTTGCTGAGGCAAATAAGGTCAATGGACAAGACAGACTTCACATACAATATCAGCCAATCACAGATCTCCTAAAATTAAGAAGCTTGGGTTCGATCAATCGGTGCACCCCTACAATGGACGACCTACACAAACATTTCAAGCGCCGTCATCTCTAGGTTTATTGTCTACAGCCAAGGCTTCTTTAAACAGTCTTTTCCTCTCCAAATTCTCATTCACTCTCTTCCGTTTTTCTTGTTTCCTCAACATAGATTCTTTCTTCTTCACCACCAGCTCACTGAGTTCACCTTTATACGCCACATCAAGTTTCTCCCTCATTATATCCCGGGCACGCTTTCGGTTTGTATCCACAGATCTGGTCTGATGACACTACAGGAGGGGATGAATAAGAGAGAAACAGAAGTTATAAAAACACAATTCCCAATTCTAGTTCCCAGCAAATTACAGTATTAAAGTACATATGTTTTACACCAATATAGTCTAGATATTTCACATCTAATGTACTTTTTGTTATGAAAAAGTAGAGAGGACCGACAAAAATAACCGGTGGCTTTGAAACTTTCAACATACTTTCCTTGTATGTCTATGAGAGAATTAGTGGATTTTTCAGAATTTTAGGAAACCAAAACAATCAGCTCATGAAATGGTAGTCCCCTCTACCCTGTTTTTTTAATGGTCCACTTGGAGGCATGCCTGTCGTAGTATAATCTGACCAATCACCTCGAGAAACTTCAACTCTAAAACATAAAAACATATATCGCTGCTCTCACTTACCTTTCTGCCTTTTTAAAAGTAATATCAAGGAGCTTCCTCACAAAAAGTCCAACATTTTCAGGTGTAGGACCTGCTTGAGCGCTTAGATAAAATATATTGATTCTAATAATTATTTATTAATTTAACCTAATCCAAGTGGATTAATAAGAAATTGTATGCAATATCAACTGTGTTAAATAAATATGACACCTTTCTGAGGCGTTATAATCCGAGGCAAGGGTACTTACATCTACTTACTATAAATGGGAATTATAATAAATGCTAGTTTTAGAGAGACGTCTTATGTGTATTCTCGTATATTAAAATATCAGTGAAAATCAGAAATCTACTATCCGCCGTTTATGACAGGCAAAAAAATAGTGGTGCGAATTTGACTGACAGATCAAGTAAACCCTGACAGCCAGAAAGCATAGCAGCTGCTACCTTCACTACAATCCCGGTGGGGATGTGTTTGAGCACGACACAGTTGCTGGTTTTGTTAGTCGCTTGTCCTCCCGGCCCGGATCCCCTCACAAACTGCTCTTCCAGCTCCTCCTCCGACAGGACTGGGAGATCAGGCAGGTCCTTCTTCCCCAAAGCCACGACCCATGAGGGCGCAGGCGGGGTCAGTCTGAGCAGCGGAGAGAGACCGGGTGTATTTCTCCGCATGAGCCGCCGGGATGCTCCCAGTAAGCCGCTGGTGAACGGCAGAAGGGATGACATTACATTGCAACTTACACAATCAGGCAGTAAAACGAAAACTTCTGAGTTTCCAGGCCGAAGAGGGGGCGGCCTCAAAACCTCGCTGTGAAGCTCAAGCTTCCGCTTTGTTTACCTTCATAGACGTCCAATCAGCAGGCTTGCTTTTTTCTTCGAGGCGACAATGAAGTTGTTGCTCTTCCAATAGCGCCACCGAGTGCTGGACAGTGGAACAAATCAAAATTGTAACAAAAAAAATTAAATTAAACAAAAAAAAAAATGAGTTCAGTTTATTTATATGGCACGGCACGAATACATGTAGTTCATGCAGAAATACATAAAAATATATTCAAAGTCAAGTCCACATACCAATACGTTTCAATTTCTAAAACAATGCAGTACTTTGACTTTGGCCATTTTGGTCTGCATCAGAAGAGTTTAAAAACTATCCGAGGAAAATCCAGATGCAGAACACTGGCCTTTGAGGACAAATTGGACACCCCTGGCCATCATGGAAGGCCAAAAGCAAATGCCTGGATTAGTGCAGAGGAACACATGTACCAAATAAGGTCCTGAAGTCCCACAGTCAAAATGGGAGACTCCATCAAGAGTGACTGATGGTGACAGAGATAAGATCCTGCTAGACTTTGGGATCCAGATTATAAACCAGAGATTACTGGACATTGTGGTGACAGAGAAAAGGTAAAAGAGGAGATTAATGATAGGTATTGTGATTCTATGAAATACAGACCTCAACAAAAGAGACAATCAGAAGGTTGAGAAAAACCAAGGGCTGAAAGAAGTATAAACTCTGACATCTATGTCCTCAGGAAAGCAGTGCTTGGAACCTCAAAGGTACACCAAGCCTATGGTGGAGGACATCAAAAGTGTCTTTTACAATAAGTTTAAACATATAAACATCTATATAATGGCTTTAGTTATATGTTATTTAAAAACTATGCTGTTTATATACAATAGTATCGTTTAATTTAATGAGAGGTGTAAAGGATGAAAAGAAAATCTAATTAACTTATATTGCTATTCAGAAAATACATCCTGGATAAAAACAGCTCTCAGTTTTTTTCCACATACACATTAATGGATTGTGATGTAATGCTTCCTGTTGCTCACTGACAGTATCTAAAATTAGTAAATCAGGAAACAGGTCATCAGGAAAAGACAATCTGTTACTGATGACCTGTGAAGACATCTGTCTAACATGTGGAAAAGAAACTTACATTTTCATCTAATCTTTCTGTTCAAACTTAATTCAAAAAGTACTTTATTATTTCCAAAGGAAAATTAAATGTTGTTGTAACTCATTAATTCAAAGTCTTCAGAGTTTTATAAATACTTGCATTATTGAGATAAATGCAATTATCTCAACCATGTAGAATATTAAGGTGTGCCCAATGTGCGTCTAGTGGTGTATGTGTCATTTCTTTTTAAGGAAAGTTCTTTAAAAAATGTTTAAAGCCGAAGGTTGCTTCCAGTAAAGGAAACAATGAAACAATCTGAACAAGAAATGCTTGTAAACTTTCAGTTGATTTGAACAGCTGTTGTACATATATTCACCTGTCAGTGGAGCTATGGCTATACAGAAATGGAGCCAGTGGGAAAGAGGTCGAAATGAAGAGATGAACCAAGACACATCTTGATAAAGCTTTAATGGCATAATAACACTCTGATTGTTCTCTTTGGAATTTCACTTTCTTTTGCAAATATCACCAGAAAACATTCAGTTTACACCCTTCTCATTATTAGAAGGGTGTAAACTCATTTTTTTCCCTTCTTTTTTAATTGTTAAACCATATTAGTGAGATCACAAATGTAATGCTCAAATGTAATTCATGCAACTGAATTGGAATAAATTAGAGGCAGCCTTATCATTCGCTGAAAATGTATTTAGTTTGATTTTTTACATTAAGACTCCTAAATAATTTATTACGTTATTGGACTTTTGGTCATTTCGGAAAATACTAGTGTCAACTTTGTGGTCTGGTTTTATTGCCACCAGGGGGAGCGCTTCGCTCAGCGCTTTGCAGATTGTTAAGTGTGCGTTGCAGAAAGGCAAATGCCGAAAATGACGTTGGTAATCCTTTCAAAATAAAAATATAATCATTTTCTTTTCTTGTTTTTCCTTGTGTTCTATAGATAAGATCCTTTAGCATTTGAATTAGCAAATTAAAATTATAAAATTTAGTGAAAACTGAAAGGCGGTATGGGTCTTAAACCAATGCAACCTCTCTCTGGACTTTTAATTTGAAATGACTACCGGAAGTGTGATGCTCTCCTTACCTGCGCTGCATTTCGCGTCGAACTTGAGAAGCCAGGAGTCTAAACAGCGGTTCAGACTTGAGAGGACTGGCAAGTTATGCTGGTGAGCGCTCCTTGTCGGTCTCCTCGTCGCCTTTCCCGGTTCTGTGGTCGGAAGGAGCAACTAATGGCCTGAGCACAGCCCTGTCTGCGTTATCCTCCCCGCAGGACGAGCCCACTCACCGTCTCACTGGACCGTAGCGCGAATACTCCAAGGACATTTCAACGTTTCCACAGCTTTTGGCCTTTTCTGTCGATTGAGGAAACCCAGCGTTGTTGCTGTCCCGCGCAGCGATGTGGCCAGATTTTGTAAACACGGGCAGAACCCGCGGTTGTTTCCACGTAGCCCACCCGAGGGGCTGATGATGTGTCCACGCGTGTCGTTTTTAAACGTCGCACCCGCATCCTTTGCTCTGCCGAGGGGACATACAGACAAACAGACGGACGAGCCAGTGAACGGAAATCAGCCAGTGACTTTCGTTGCGCTCCGTTCGGCCATGGCATCGCTGAGATCCGAGGCTGCCTCCTGCTGAAGGGAGATCTGTGTTACTGGAAGAAGGTGGTGGCCATAAAACCCAGAGGAGAGGCTGATGAACTTTGAATCCCAGACTGCTGCTGCTGCTGCTGCTGGAGGAGCGTGTTGAAGGCAGAGGTGCGTCGGGTTCAGGTATGTTTTCAGCATTGCCAGCCATCAGTTTGCCTTCACCCTGCTGCCATGTTGCTAGGTAACTAAGAGACGGTGGGTTTACTTCAGTTCATCTTCTCAGGGATGTAACGCCACCTTCCATAAATCTTATTTTCCTCACAAGCCGCGCATTCAACATGTGCTGTCTGCTCTCCAGCAGACGTGTTCAGACTAACTGCGCATGCAGAGCATTGTCCTGCACTCCTGTGATCCATAACCCTGTTGCAGCTCACAGGGAGGCATGCAGGTGTTTTTGGATACCCTGACTGTGACATTGGCAGATCTTATCATGCATTTGATTTTTATATTGGCCCCCTTGGGAGCAGGTGCCTCACCCTCCTCCCCAGCAGAAATGGGTATTTAATAGACTCAAGAAAACCACATGTTTTCAATTCTGCTTTTTATATTGCACCAACTTAAAACTATCCTCATTGGGCACTTTGCAAGGCAAACTGGTCCAGTTCACTTATAGTAATTGTTTTTTTTTGTTTGTTTTTTTTTAAATCTAATCAAACTAGAAGCTGCACAGTACATCAAATCAATATTGTGATCCCCTTTCAATGGTTGCAGTTGTACTTACTCTGATGGAATATTTAGTTGGCTGTTAAATTTCAGGTGGGGAGAATTCAAACTGCTTGCAAATAATATATTCATCCAGTTTGATGGACTGTCACTGTGTGTCAAGCCTCTTTCAAAATGTTAAAGCTGAAGGAGAGTGGGAGGACTATAGTAGGCCATCAAAATTGAACGTTTTCCTTGAGTAAACCGGTCATATTCACATTCGGCCACATACAGTCGAATAAATATTAGCTCATTTTTATAAAGGCATCGCTATTCTCTGCTTGATGTCTGTGTTTTCAGTGCAACCAGAGAAAACCGACATTAACACTGTAGATTTAAGAATTTGTGTATTTATTCCGAATCATATCGTCTTTGCAACATTCAAGAACAATATAGCAAATTGCATGTTGTTGCATTTCTAACATTTTGTTTCTGAACAGTTTGTCTTAAAAGTAGCTTACCGGTACATGTGCTGCACCTTTCTACAGGGTACTACTTTCTAAGCTGCAGTAAAAATGATCATGTGTATAAGAAACGTTGAGATAATACAGAGGGGCTATTATTAGATATGCGAATATTGATGGTGGTGGAAAGGCCACAAACAGCCTTGAACCGACTCTGTGTCTTTTCCTGGCTGCTATTTGAACAGCGTGCGGACGCACATGGTACCAGACTAATTGTATTCCTCAAGCTTCATGCCATGATCTGTCCGTTTTGTGTGTGTCCATTTCTCAGAGAGCCTACACAGTGACACATAGGTGTGAGACTTTATGTAAGACCCTGCTCTGCTTTAAATAACAGTGTGCTTGACGAGTCACAAACTCGATCCCTGTCTCTGCAGCCTCTCAAGGAACAGAGGAATGGCAGTCAATCGTGTTTATGTATACCAAGAACCTGCATGCCAAATTCTTGCATACCTGAGGCCTGTTTTTGTTCCAGCGTGAGTCTGTAATTCTCTGCAACAAGAGTCCGTCCACTTGACTCAGCAGGGCTTGTGTGAGTCATTGAGGCAGCGCTGACTCGCAGGCTGTGGCGCCTGTTGTCCAGATGATCGCTGTTTCACAAGGGCAGGAGCGGCTGCACCTTTTGTCGCTCCGCTCTCACCTTCTGCTTTCCGCTCAACACCTCAGCAGGTCTTTCGACTAAGATTGGAAATTGTGAGTTTGTGGGTTTTTAAAGTAAAAGCTGTGTTACGAAACTGAAATTGTTGCTTGAACCTAATAAAACCTGATGAAACATGCAGATAAAATGCAGAAATTCAGGGCGCTCACACCAAAACAAGCAGTTTTGTGGGCCGGTTCTGCTGCGGCTTAAGTGAGCTTTGCTTTGACATGTTAAAACATGAGTCCTGGCTGCTGGAGATTTGTTGTTTTTAAGATGTATGCATACAGCATAAGTACCGCTGTTAGCTTTTTTTTTTTTTTTACATATTTTGGGTTTTGTTCCCTTTGCTTATTGTGCAAGAGCAATCAGCAAAAAAAAAAAAATGCAGCTCTTCTCTGAGCTCTATATCATTTGAGCACTTTTGTACTCTTGCAATGAGATGCATTTTTTAAAAATATAACTTAAGATTCAGGAAAACGTTTGTAATCATGCTGCTTGTTTCAAGAAGAAGCAAAGACTTTGATTCTTAAATTTGTTTGTGTGCACATGAGCTTAACTCTGTCGTTTTGACCTTTTAAGAAAATGCTGAGGTTTCTCTGCTGCATACGCAACAATTCCTGTTTCGTACACCTTGACAGTTTTTAGAGGTTTGGACGTTCTTCCCTCCCCTCTGGCAGAAACTTGCACAATGTACACTATGTCCTGAATGGAAAAGGGCTTTGTTGCAGATGCAAATTGAAACACCTACCAGGTGGTTTTGAAACTTTAGGAAAATGTTTCTGCCTTGTTTGCCCACTAATTTCCAATAAATTAATAACTTAATGTTTTTGTTGTGTAGAAATATTTAATTGGTTTTCAGAATTTTATATAAGGGAACCTGAAAAAGTTTGCTGTGTGTTTTTGCATTCAGACACTCTAAAAATCCAGCACAGTCATTAGCCCTCAGCAGTCATGACCTAGATTCAAAACACCATGTGTGGTGAAATACTAACATTCAGCTCACTTCGAACAAAGTATCCTCACAGTAAAACATGGTAGTGGTTCCCATGTTATGGGTAGCGTGGTATGCTGTCCTTTCTGCTCTTCCTGATCTTCAGGAAGGACAGCAAAGCTGCTCCAAGCTGAAACCAGCTTAATTTCTGGATTCAAACCTTTCAGAGGTTGCAGAAGATTTGAGAGTAGCGTGAAGATTCATCTTCCAGCAGGACAAAATGTTGAGCAAACAGCCAGAATGACAGTAAAGCTAGTTTAGATCAGTGTGTCTAATGAGCCTGTGCTCCAGTTGGTCTAATTCAAATGACTGGATTATGTCATCATCAAATTCTTTAGAAGCTGGTTAATCAGGCTTTTGAAGCCTGTTTAACATCCATTTAACCTGGATGAACAGCAGAAGAGAAATGCCCAAAACATGATGGCCATTCAACACCAGAATTGAGAAACTCTGTTCAGATGAAAGAATATAAATTTGTTAGAATGACCTAGTCAAAGTGCAGACATGAAAGCTGGTTGAGATATACCCTAGAATACTTTGGGTGATTGTAGCAAAAAGGTGGTTCTACAAACTACTGGCTCAAGTTATACAATTAACTGCCACACTTTTTCTTCTTTTTTTTTAAATTTAGAAAATCCTCTCTCATTTTCTTCCAATTCCCATTACCAGTAAAAATACATAACCATTTGTGGTTGAAACAAGACAGCAAAGTTCAAGGGGCATGAACACTTTTGCAAAGTGTTGCAAAGTGCTAAATGTTTTTATAATTCCACCAGAATATTATGAAGTCCTGCTGCATTGCTGACTCAAAAAATAAGTGCAGATGGGAATAAAAGGCGGCCTCATGCAGGGGTCACTGATTTCACATTAGCCCTTGCGGCTTTTATAAACACACATGAGGACGGTGCGCCGTGTTCTCATTTTAGTTTTCAGCTCTCGTCAAAAGAAGTTTTTCTTTTTTTTCAAACAAGATGCTTTTATGATATTTCAATGTTAAGTAAGAAACGGAACTGACGGCACACTGTTTTATATTCTGCTGTTTTTAAAACCAAATTAAATGTTGAAGTGTTCAATTTGAAATAATTCGTCCAGAAAAGCAGATTCTCATTTATCACATATTAAACATTAATTCAGCACATATTCTTTTTATGGCTTTAAAAGATTTATAGATTCCGGTTTGGTTTACTTAAAATTATTGTCGGGGTTGAATTGTGTGTTGTTGTTTTTTCTTTGGTCTTTTATGGATTTCTGGACATGGATTTGAATGTATATTTCTGGCTTTCCTTTTATATTTAGGATTTTTCGTAACAGATGAGAGAAAAAAACTATTTTAAATATGCTTTTTATACATCTGTGAGGTAAATGTTTAATTTTGACATTAGAGAAATGAACTGTGCCTGCAAAAGATGGAGCACAGGCTGCTGTGAGCCTAGTTACTGGATGTTGTGATGCTCCACAGTGTGCTTCCTGGTGAATGGAGAGCTGTAATTTCTAATTGTGCAAATCCCCTGCTAATGTTTGCTCTTCAGGAGTCACACTGATCTCCTTCCAGAGGCTAAAATTGCTCTCCACTCCAGCAATGGTATATACAGTTACAGGAATGCCTGACAAGCTACTGACGGTCATGAGGAAAACACTGTAAATAAATGCTGTACGTCTGCGTGTTGTGACGGTGGAGTGGAAAATTCCTGACAGAGGAGCCCGCAGCTCTAGTGCGTGTCTCCCGGCCTCGTTTGAGTATTCATGGCAGCGCGCATGTGACGGATCTGTTTTCCTCCAGGAACCCTCACTTTAATTTATCAGACTCAACCCACTAGCAAAAATATGTAATCCTGTATCTAAGAAGAGCACAGAACACAAGTGAGTGCGAAGCCGTTGAGTGATGGCTCGTCAGAGAACACAGTCAAGACTCACTTCCTGCCGGTAAAAGTTTGGGTGACGTATGCAGCTGCTTGCATATTTGAGCTCAGAACGGGGGCTTTCTGCACTGTTTATCAGGTTTGATCTGCTGCACAGGAAGAGCAAAGGAGCACCAGGTGGAAACTGTAATTCTCCCTTCAGTCTGTTACGGAAAACGTTGAATGTGCTGTTTGTTGCAACATTGACATTTTTGCTCTCTACATGACTTTAACTTTGGTCTGTTTTAAATGACTGAAATGCTTGAAGCATCCCACCCACTAGGTAACCCTGTTACTTCCCCTCCAGCCCAGGATAAGCCATAATCTCAAAGACTAGCAGACGAGATGCAGCAGATAGAGGCGGAGATGAAGCAGCCGCTCAACTGTTAAAAAGACTGCTTACTTTGATATTCTGGTCTGCTCGAGTCAACAGATGAAGCAAACAGACTGTAATCTCATATGTGGGGTGAAGTATCCATGTGCTTTTTAGTAGCTGGATTAGCGTGGCAGCTTTACGTGAAATTTTAAAAATTGTTTTCTCTATGAAAAGATGCCGAGAGTATTCAAAGAGTATTCATTTAAGCTATCATAGGATTACATTTCTTTTCTCACATTAAATATTCTCATTAACTGTGTGTGACGGACAAAAACTTGTTTGGGAAATTTACCAGGTATTTCCTCCCCCACCCCTCTTTGGGAAGTGTTAATCTGTGCAGACATCTACCTACAAGGAAGTGTTCTGAAATATTCAATGGGCTTTATTCATCGGTTGTCAGGGATTTCAGCTGGTATCTTGTTAACTTGGTAACAGCAAAGCACTCATACTGACTAAATAGAGAGCCGTGGTCAGCAACCTTTATAGTACATTTTGCTTCTAATAAACTGTCCAGAGCCTGTAAAGCTGCAAAATGCTCAAATTAAAAATAGCTTTTTAAGTTTTAGAAATAGGCACTTATAAAAACTTGTTTTATTGTAAAATATATATATAACAACTTGACTTTATGTGTTTTGGTTTGAGCAGCTTTGCAAGGAGGAATGGAGCAAAAACTTTGAGTCTCAAGATGTGCATAGCTGGGAAATAGAAACAAAATGACTAAATGACTAGCAGCCGTAGCTGAAGTGAAAAGTTGCTCTTTTATGAAAAAATGAAAATGATAAAAATGAAGGTCAGATTTTTATCTGTAAAAACAAACAAATAAGGCTAACATGTATACCTTTCCTTCTACTTCACAATTGTGCACTACTTTTTGTTTCATTAAATCCCAATAAATTACATTGTTTGGAAATATTCAGGCAGCACTTGCGAGCACTTTGCAAAGCACTGTTTTTCTATGTTTTCTTCTGCAGGTTTAAAAACTAAAAAGTCACGAGTATTGATATTAAAATGATTGTTTACATATAAATTTCCCATCATGCTGTTTGGATCTTCAGCTCTGCGCTGAAACCTTGTGACGATCAGCCTAACATCCCCTTCTGAATTGGATAATGATGATTGATAGATGAAGAACATCACATCCTGTTGATTAGATTACCGCCTTGCGCGCACACACACGCACAGACTTACACACACACAGGCCATTTCACCAGTCTGCAGAGCTGCTGAGATTTTAAGCTTTGCATAGACAGAACTCTGTCATTGTTCATGATGGTATATTTTTGCTGTATCTCAATGTCTGATCTTATGTAATTATTTTTGATTGTTGGGCATCTTGACAGAACCCGAGTTGTGCATCCGTCCTGTACCTGGGCGTCAGCCAGGCGCCGAATAGAACGTTGTGTTTTCTCTGCGCCTTTAGTACCCGAAAAAACTAATCTTTCTCTCCGCACCGCTCGCCCTCCCACCTCGACTCCCTCGAACAGGTGATGGTAGGTTGGGCTGAGCTGTTGACAGGGACGAAAGGGGTACAGCCTGTCCCCGCGCATCCCTGATGAGCCTGCTGATGAATTGCACGTCATTGCTAATGGTCCTACCGCAGCGTTGTCTGGGAAATAAAACAAACGCTTTGTGCGGCTCTCTTCCACGTTCCTCCTTCTTCGTGGACAGCACCGTTTCTGGCGATGTGGGTGGGTGGACTCTAAGAAGAGCTGGGGTCTTTTTATAGCAGCCGTCCACCCTCGCTGTGTCCTTACCGGAGTTTCATTTTATAAAAGAGCAATCAAGTCAATTGAATTTGTGCTGTCAGGGAAAGAGGACATTTATGCGCTGGTGATGTTCACCAGGCTTGTGGATGAAGCAAAATGGACGAAGTCTGACATACACACACACACACACTCCACAAGAAAACTTCTTTGCTCTTAAGCAGGAAGGACTGCTTCTGTGAGGCAAAGTCAGTGTAATAGAAGCTAATCTAATCTGCAAGGAGCATTGTCTGCTGTGAGAAATGCTGTTTGTTCAACTCATTTGCTGTGGAAAGTCACTGACCATCAGAGGCCTGATTTTTCCTCTGTGGTTACGTTCTCATTTCCACTGTTTTCTGCGGTATGTAACATGCTTCATGCTGTTCTCCCGGTGTTTCTCTTTAAGCTCTTGCAGCACTCTGAGTCATGGATCATGTAAAATGAAAATGACAACACAGCTTCATGTCGTTTTACCCACGCTATCCTATTTTTTTTTTTCAGGCCACAGACACCTGATTTCTCTAAGTCTAAAAATAGAGTAGATCCTGACTCCCCCTCCTCTCTTCCCATCATTTCTTTCCCTTTTTCTTTTGTTCCAGCAATAAATATTTGCAGGTCTTTCTATACTGACCCACTGGTCTATAATTATACACACAATCCTACAAATATACACAGCTGACTAATAGGTTAAATGACCATTGGCGAGTTGTAAACTGACATCACAATTTTTTGTTGCCACCATATTGATTTAAGGAATCAAATTTTATTTTATTATATTAACTAATAAATTTTTTGTTGATATGTCCCTCTGTTTGTCTTATCTGACCATAAAGCTAATTTCCACATTGAACTATTTCAGGGTGTCGGCAACCCATGGCTCCAGAGCCGCATGCGTCTCAATAAAATATGGTTTCTGTAGGAGGACAAACACGACACAGTCATTCTTAATGTTTTCCAACGCTATAAAAATGTGTGGAATAAATATAAAATTTCAATATTTCTGTCAACACAGATTTGCGTTGTCCCAATAAATGCAAATCTTTGGGTTTTTAGCGACAAAAAACCCCAAAGCTTTGCGTCACAGCACTTTAATATTGTAATAAAAGGTAAACTTAAAGCACCATTGTACAAAAGAGTCATGTGGTGCGTCACTCTGTCCAGGACGCACAGCAGGGAAAATAAGCATTCAGTCATGAATGATAATTACACTTAGTCATTCTGGTAATAGGCTAATATAGTTAATATAAACACTTAAAGCTTGTTTTGCGTTCATTACAAACCTCTAAATGTTTCTGGCTTTTAATTTTTTGCGGTTCCAGACAGATTTGTTTTTTGTTGCTTTTTGTTGGTCCAAAATGGCTCTTTCAACATGTTGGGTTGCTGACCCCTGAACTATTTGATATTGATTACTAGAAGATTGAGAATGCTTAACCAACTATAAAGCACCGGGGTTGGAGCAACATGCTCTGGGGATGTTTTGCTAAAGGTTCTCGTGTTGCTTTGCAAATGGTGTGAATAATAATTTAAGAGGGTCACCTCCAAATCTTTTGACCTCCTCTCAACTCACAGCTACACAGCTGGGTTTTCCAGCAGGTCAGTGGTCCCAAACATGCATCAAAACTGGTTTTGGTAGCGGTAAAGCAGGATAATATTAACCTTCTGAAATGGCCTCAACCTCATCTTGATTAAAATTTATGCTTAAGTGCCACGCATGTATCAGGAAACAAACTAATTTTAATGAGTTGCTGGGAGGTATTTATTCAGTTGTTAGTAAGGATGTATGTATTTAAGCATGTAAACTGCTGCATGTTCTTTTCATCCAAATGTAGTCTGTGTTCCACTGGGTGAGAATTTATTTATTGTGTGATTTTCAATGGGAGGAAGACGTAAGCAAACATTTTTCTCGGTCTAAATGTTTCTGGTTTTTAATACTGAGGAAAATATCCCAAAGATTTACCGCGATGCTTGAAACCTGACCTCGGAACCCACTGAAATGTTAGCGACAGCCATTTAGCCAGGCCCGTATTTGAAATTGGCCTTTTATGGTCAGCTTAAGGGACAACTCTGCTCTTTGGGCAGTGGGCAGCTTGCTGTTTGGAAAGGCTGTGCAAAAGGGGCTTGAGGTATTCCAGCAAAGGGCAACAGACAGCTTTTCAGAAAAAGCTTTGCTGTCGTTGATTGTCTTTTACCCGAGTTTCAAAGTCTCCTCTGAATGATCAGCTCTGCTCTATGAGCTGACGATGCAGTGATTTGGTTTGCTTTAGAGTCTGATGCTGCACAATAGAAAAGTAGAAGGTGAACCAGCAGCAACTTCATTGTGTTTAGTTCAAAGACAAACCTCCTTTTTATAAATCAAAGCTTTTGCAGCTGGTTGACCAGCAGATTGGTTCTAAACTGCTGTGCTTGTAAGGAATAATTTTCTTTTTCCAATTATGAGTCTAATAAATACCCACCATGTAAGTTTTTTTTTCAGACACACTGCTGTTTTATGTTTTTCAGATCATCTGCCCACACTTTTCAGTAAAGTCTTCCGGTCAACTTTCACCTCAGCTGCTCACCGCTCAGGTGAAATTTATCTGCAAAGGATTTCTTGGTAGTGTAGGTATGAAATAAGCTTCATGAACATAAATATTTTGCAGATTTGAAACTAAGTTTTTAAAACTGAAAACCAAGCATCAAAGGTAATAATACCTTTGATGAACCCAAGTTAATACAAAACAACATGAAGTGGACCTGGTTCATAAAGGCATTTGCTAGACGTTGCTATTACCCAAATTATAGTTATAGAAGTAAAAGCAGTACTTTGAAATGAACATGTTTAGTTTGCAAAACCCAAATACATATAGTCGGCTCTTTTGTTTGCCTAATTATATCTGTTTTAAATGTGTGTATTAATCATTCAGAGGACCATATTATTTCTCGTGGCAGAAAGCAAAGTGCAGATCAGTGAGCTGTGAGGGAGAGGAACTGAAAACCAACAAAAGTGAAAGTGGAGACAGGAGAAACGGGAGAAAGAAGTATCGGCCCTGGCAGCTCTACTTTCTCTGTCACTCAGACTTTCTTGTCCTGGCAGCCAATCAAAAGCCCACTGTGTCTCCAGGGTAACCCCAGCCCAATTGAAGCAATGATGGAGCGGATAAAACAACAGGAAGCCGAATACAATATGGCCGTGGGCAAAATAATTTCTTTACAAGTTTTACTGGGTGTAACCCTCAGTTGAAAAACTAAAATTGGATTTGAGAGAGCACTCGGTGATTTATGACTATGTATATATATATATATATATATATATATATATATATATATATATATATATATATATATATATATATATATATATATATATATATATATATATATGTCTTGTCAGACACATTTAAAGGCACCACTGGTAGAACTGTGTAAGACGCCTTAAAATCACTTTTCCACGTAGTCGTGTAATTACTTTTTTTTTTATTGCAGTATTGCTTTTTCTTTTTTCATTATTTTAGAAAAAAAAATCTTTAATTTGAGAAATAAGTTAAGAAATAATTGTTTTTGACAAAATGACCAAGAGCAAAATTCATCCAGGGCATGCTATGCTGTTCATGTAGTCTGGACATTCAAATTGGAAGGTTTTTTTTGTCCATATTATTAGAAAAGAAAGTTCACTGTCAGTGTTATATTTGCACAATTAGCTGTTGCCAACTCTGCTTGCGTTGTCACCAGGTCAGTTGTTGCCTAGCTACAGACACAAGAGCCTAATGCATTTGTGGGATTATGGGAAGATTTTAACCAATCCTCAGTCTCAGCTATGCTGCTCTACCAACGAAAACAATGTTGGATTTGTTTTATGCAAATGTCAGGGATACATACACTTGTGGTGCAAGACCTCCTCTTGGCTAATTAGATTTTTATTTTCCATGCTCAAAATATAAACTCCTCATTCAGAGGCAACTTTTAATGAAAATAATTGTGAGAAGTCGATCATAGGAAGTTAAAGAAGCTTTGCCAGGTTGTTTTGAGGCTCTAGACTGCGATGCCCTCTGCCAACCAAATTAGGTGGATAACACCTTCCCCAGCAGAGCAGTGACATGCTTCATCAGTCACCAACTCTGGGTCACCAGTAACCTGGAAGACCAGCCGAACAAGAAAAAAGGCTTACAGGCTTGATATTGAAGATGCTACAGGGTTCTAGCTAAATACGGATCAGATAAACTAAAGTCTGGATAGAGCCAATGACGTGACATTCTTCAACAGGTTCATTTCAGGAAGAATCTCTGCACTCTCTTCTTCTGCCCTAACCAAGCAGGCTTCTCACACACACTTGACCCACAACTTTCCTGTCACACCTCAAATATGTTCCATCTCTGGCATGTATCCTGCTGCTTCACCATCGTTTCTAGCCAAATCAGGATATGCCGGTACTCCTTTCGACTTCTCCTCCTACTTGTCAGGAGGCAGCTGGAGAGACGGAGCTAGAACAAGACGGCAAGACAAGATGGTGTCAAGCCCAGAGTCCTGAAGGCCTGCATAGAGCAGCTTTGTGTGGTTCTGCACCAGATGGTTCAGAGCTTCTCTAAGTCTGCTTTGGAGAGTGCAGTCTCCTCATGCCATCATCTGTTGGGGTATTAGCCTCAGTCAGTGACTTGAAACAAGCCGATAAAGGACACTGGATTTTTCCCGGAGCCTCTGGATGCTTCATAAAATAAATAGACAACCCTGACTTCTTGAGCTTCCTCTTCAACAGACTTACAACCAAGACAGTATCATCAGTCAGAGGCTTCTTGACTCCTGTAATATAGGCTGCTACAGAAGATCCTTGTGACCTCCAGCCATCAACATCAGCAATGACTCTTTACAAAAAGGTTACAAAGGTTTCCATTTGTGGAAGCAGTCAGTTTCTTGAGCTGCTGATGATCAGCTTTATGTGCAGCAGCAAGCACAGCCTCTCAGACACAACTCTGAAGGGTGGATTGGTTTCCTTTACTGAAAATCTTCCATTTAAAACAGAGCCACAAGTTCTCAATAGGGTTAGTTAATGTGAGAAACAGAACTGTCTTTATTCTTTCATCTTCAAAGTCCTGCAGTGTGTGGCTAGCAGTGGAGTAATTTGGTACATCAAATGGAGCCATGGATTGGAGAGGGCCAACTGTAACTAATTACCAATAATCTGTGATTGCTCAGCCAATCAAATTGGGCCCCTCGCTGAGATTATACCACATCAGTGCTGAGGTGCTATGAATGGTAGTGATGCTAAAAGGAAGAGAGGCCTGAAATCTAATTCTGCTCAAGTCCCTCTCCAACCTTGGGCTGGCCCTGGTGGGGATGAGCCAATATGAAGTACTTCGCTGACAGCAGAGGGTCTGATATTTGTGCCCATTGGGAGTTTGTTAAAGAAAATCTATTAAAAGCTGCTGCTTATTCATTTTTTTATCTGTATTGTTAGGGTTATGTTGGAAATGGGATTCTCTCGGAGGTCATAAACATCCAACATTGAGCGGTTCTGCTTTATTAGAAGTTAATTGTTCTTTGTTTAGTTCCAGCTTGCTGTAATGTTATCAAGTTGGTATCTCTGCCACATCAGAGAGAGCAAGCTGTTTGAATTTGTTGCTGAAAAATATGCTATGCAAATAAAAGCCTTTCATCAGTGGAACATGTCTTATAGTCGGAGCTCCTTAACATCCTGGTAAGAGATCACCAGTGACATGGGATCTGTTTGCTTTTATACTTCAAAGTCATTATGTCATGCTTTTTTTTTGTGCTGTCAGTGGTGAGAATGTGGTCACCATTAGCTCCACATTAGCAAGAAAAGCCTCAGTTTGAGTCAGCAGCATCCTGTTGCTACCAGTTTGTCTGATGGAGATGTCTGAGAGACATTTCCTAAAAGTACTAAAGCGTTTCCAGTCCCGTGGGCCTGTGGGCTGCACAAATTAGTTAATGGAATTGGTAAAATGCTTTCCTTTCCTGTATCTGCTGCAGTTATGTAAGAGCGCTCTCTGCGCAGTTCATTTAGTCTGACTGAGTGCTTGTTCAGAACGAGAGTGAGGGGAGGGGGTACTCGTTTAACCTGGGCACATTACTGATTAATCTAAGCATCATTTGCATCTCAGGTTGTCTAATTTTGGATGCCAGAGCGAAGCGCTGTGTTTATTGGAGGCAGCGTTGGTGCGAAATTCTGGGCTGACGAGCGCCGCTGAGACAGATAAAAAACAATTACTCCAATTTTCAAAGCAGACTGAAGTTTTCAGCAGTCAGTTGAAGGCACCAGATTTTATTTGTGCTGAATTTAATTAGATGGTTGCTGGGTTATCCAATCTAAAACTTGTTATATTCTCCACTCGCTCAGAGCTTCGGTGTGACTCATTGAGATTCGCTCATCTGGCCTGTGTCGCCTCATCTTTACCATAAATATCTTCTGCAGCTCATTGAGGAAATAACTACCCACTTATTATTTTCTGTCAGGTACTTTCTAGAACTATTTCTGACATCAGGTATGTTTTATTTGCAGTTTTTACAGGTGCATCTCATTGAAATAGAAGATCATTGAAAAGTTCATTTGTTTTACAAAGTTTATTCAAAAACTAAAACTCATACATACGTCACATACACAGAGGGGCATTTTAAGCCTTTTTCAATTAATTCTTACGCTGAGTACTTACATAATTTTAATGATGAAGACTTAATGAAAGCTTAATGTGCAGTTTTTTATCGAAAATTTGAAAATTGCACATGGACATGTAAAAAAAAATAAAATAAATGTGAGTCTACTGTAAAGCACATGTTCTCAGTATTTGTTTCCTCTTTTCTTGCATGAATTGCTGAATCAATTCAGCATGGGGTAGAGGCAATCAGGTTTCAGGGAGTCCCAGGTTAATAGTCGCCTTCAGCACCTCGAATTTCTTTTTCTACAACACTTATTTTTTTTCTTTGAAGCCTCTGTTTGGACGGAGCAATCTGTGAACAGCGAGTGTCTTAAGCCACAAATGTCCCGTCGTGTTGTACTCTCCTTATGCAGTCTGTCAGCGACTGTCTGCTGGACAACTGGCAAGTCAGCAGTCTTTCTAGTGATGTGTCATTACATAACAGTTGTGTATTATTATTTTCCTCATAAACTCATGTAATACTAATTTTCAAGAACATCGAGCCATAAAACCTTAAGAGAGATTAATTCTTTGAACATTTCACCCCTGTGGTTTCTGGTAGTAAAATCCAAAATGTAATATTTGATGAAAATTTCAAGTTTACAGCATAAAAAAACAAATTTTCAATACAGAAATGCGCTATGAATAATATACAGTTGGTCAGTGTGTTTGACATAAATTACTGCATCAATGTGGAGTGACATGCACTTCATTTTACTCGGTTGAGATGTCTCATCTTCCCCTTGGGCTTAACATCACAATACATTCAAAGCTTTTCTCATCTCTGTTGCTTATGCACCTTTTATACCATACTTCTTTCTTCCACTAAACTTTTAATTGAACTCTCTCTCTGAACTGAAACAGTTGAACAAAGAGCTTTGTGGCTTTCCTTCCATGTGTAATGCCATTAGCTGTTAGCTGGACAATTATCAGCTGACTTCATGGTGGTTATATAGACCATAGTGTGGCCAGAAAATAA